AGCTAAAGGTTTATTAATTTCATGTTTTAAAAAAACAGTGCTCACTTTTGTTGCTTTTTCAATTGCTTTTCTCTTCTTTATTTCATTCATATCTGCTCTAATCTTTATTATGTCCTTCCTTCTAATAACTTTGGGCTTAGTTTGTTGTTCTTTTTCTCATTCCTTGATGTGTAAAGTTAGGTTATTTAAGAGCTTTCTACTTTTTTTAAAATGTAGGCCTTTATTGATAATAAATTTCCCTCTAAGTATTGCTTTTGCAGCATCCTAAGTATTTTGTATGCTGTGTTTCCATTAGCATTTGTTTCAAGACATTTTCTAATTTCCCTTTTGATTTCCTCTTTAACCCATTGGTTGTTAAGAATTCATTATTAAATTTCCACGTATTTGTGAATTTTCTAGTTTTCCTTCTGCTAATGATTTCTAGTTTCATTCCACTGTGGTCAGAAAAGATACCTGGTATGATATGAATTTTCTTAAATTTGTTAAGACTTCTTTTGTGACCTAATACATTATCCACCCTGAAGAATAGTCCATGTGCACTGCAGAAGAATATATATTCTGCTGCTGTTGGGTAGGATATTCTGTATATGTCTGTCAGGTCCAGTTGGTCTATAGTGTTGTTCAAAGCTTTTATTTCCTCACTGATTTTCTGTGTGGATGTTCTGTCCCTTATCGAATGTGAGGTATTGTATTGCTGTCTATTCTCCACTCAGTCTGTCAATGTTTGCTTTATACATTTAGGTGCTCTGATGTTAGGTGCATATATATTTATAATTATTATCTCTTTCTAGTGAATTAATCATTTTTATCATCATATAACGTAAGTAATGTATTTAATTATTTCTTGTGACAGTTTTTGACTTAATATCTATTTGTCTGATATAAGTATAGCCAACTAGAGTGACTAGTTGCATGCTAGATCAAACTGACATCTCTATTCTCACTGGCCCTCAGACTGCCAGGTCCCATCAGCACTCCAAGACAGGCTAGATAGAAGTCAGACCTCTGGGTAGCCCCCAGAAAAATGTGGGTGATAGATGCATGGTACATCTCTTATCCTTCCCAGAGAAAACCTGGGGTTTTTCATCAACTCATTCTGTGCTGAGCCAGGGCGAGAGGCTATGGGGCCAGCCCAAACCACCATCTCTTTTCTCACTGGCTCCAGGCAGCTATATTAGGGAAGGTCCCATCAGTGCTCCAAGTCAGGCTAGACAGAAGCCAGTCCTCTGGGAAGCCCCTGAAAATGTTGGGGCATTGGTTGCATGATCCACCTCTTTCCCTCCCCAGAAAACTGGGAGCTAGGAGGTTGCCTCCTGATCATATGGCACTGTGCAAGGGGTAGGGATTATGGAAAAAGGGTGTCTTGAATTTCCCTACTGGCTTTGATAATACTTTCATGCTCACTTGGGGTTCAAGAACCTCTCACCTAGTTTCCAGATTTCTCACAAAGGGAATTTGTCCATGAACTGTTGAATTGGTGTGTTTGTGGAGGGAAGGAAGGCCTAGGGCTTCCTCTTCTGCTTTCTGGCTGACATCACTCTAAAACTTCTTAATTTTAATGAAAACAATTTATCAGTCTTTTCTGATATGGTTAGTTTGTGAGTATGCATGTATCCTCTTTGCAAAATCTTTGCCTAACCCAGGATTATGAAGATGTTTTATTTTGGAAGCTTTATTTTTCACTTAGTTCTATTATCCATCTTGAATTAATTCTTGTTTTTTATATGACGTAGTGGTGAAAGTTTATTTTTCCCACACAGATATATAATTGATCCACCACCATTGTTGAGAAAACCAGCCTTCTCTCCACTAAATAGCAGTGGTGCCTTAAGAGTAAATAAGATGTGTGCACATTATAGATTTTTTTCTGGACTCTCCATTTTTTTATTGGTCTATTTGTCTATCATTGTTCAGATCCTATACTGTCTTAATTACTTAATAGAAAGTGTTGATATCAGATACTGCAACAATTCTAATTTTTTCCTTCAACTTCAAGATTATGTGGACTATTATAATTCCATCTATTTTCACAAAAATTTTAAAATCAATTTACAATTTTCCATCAAAAATAACGTTGAGATTTTTATTTTAGGATTTCATTGAACAATGGGTCAAATTTTGGAAGAATTTATATCTTAAAATATTGAACACACTATGTTCCTCAATTGATTAGGTCTTAAAATTCTCACAGTAATATTTTGTATTTCAAGTGTGAATTTCTTACACATCATTTACTGGATATATTCCTATGTATCTCTCTCTCTCTCTCTCACACACACACACACACACACACACACACACACACACACAAGTATATATAGTTGTATTTTTCAGTTATCATTTTCTGAGGGTTTTCTGCTTGTAATAAAGAATTGAATTTTGTATATTGGTCTTGTATCCAGGCGCCTTATTACATTCATTTACTAATTCTAATTATTTTGTAATTTCTTAGCATTTTCTATATAGACAGACATATCGTCTGCAAACAATGACGGTATTCCATCTTCATTTCCAATCTTTCTAATTTTTTTTTCCTTACCTTATTTTACTGGCAAGGATCACACATAAAATGTTGAAAAGAAAAGCTCACAGTGACATCCTCTTGATCTCAAAGAGAAATCGTTCACCATTTCACCATTAACTACAATTTTTTTTATGTTTGTGTTTTCTTTTTTTTGGATTTTTTTTTTTGAGAAAGATTTGCCCTGAGCTAACATCTGTTGCCCATCTTTCTCTTTTTTTCTTTTTTTTCTCCCCAAAGCCCCAATATATAGTTATATATCCTAGTTGTAGGTCCTTCCAGTTCCTCTATGTGGGATGCCACCTCAGCATAGCTTGACAAGTGGTGAGTAGGTTTGCCCCCAAGACCCGAACTGGCGAACCCCGGGCCACAGAGGCGGAGTGTGCAAACTTAACTGCTACACCACCAGGCTGGCCCCTCACCCTTAGCTATACTGTTTGCTGTATTCTTTTTTTTTCAGATTCCCTTTATCACACTGAAACAGCTTCCTTTTATCACTAGTTAACTGGGAATGTTTAGAGTGAAAGGAAATTTTTCTTCCTCTATAGAAATGATCATATTTTTTTCCTTCTAGTTTCTCTTAATATTGTGAATTACACTATAGTCGCTTTCTAACTTTAAATCAACCTTTCATTTCTAGATCATCCTTTCCCTCCATGGCTATGATATATTATCCTTTACAATATTAACTGGATTTACTTGGAAATGTTTTGTTTAGAATTGGTGCATCTCTAATTAGAAACTGATCTATAATTTTCCTTTCTAGTAGTGCCTTTGTCAAGTTTTGGTATTAAAGTTAGGCTGACCTCATGGAAAAACTTGGGAAATGCTTTTTCTTTTTATATTCTCCAGATGAGTATGGGTAAGGTTGGTATTACTTCTTCCTTAACTATTTGGAGGATGTAATAGTTTGAATTATTGCTTCCAGTTCTTTACTCTTTTCCTGGTATATGATTATTCATCCATGTTTTTTGCCAAGTAACTTTTTAGTACCTCCTATTAGAGTGGGTGGAGCATATCACACACATCCCCTCACTGATGTTGAGTTTGGTATTGTGACTTGTTTGTCCGGTGCAATATAAGATGATGTGATTGAGCAAGTCTTGGCTTAATTTGACTTGGCTCTCATGTTCCTGATGCATGCCATGAAAAGAGTATGCCCAAGTATCAACTTTGTGAGAAAGTTTTAAATTATAGTTGCCAGAACTTTAAAGGATATAGGCATATTCATATTTTCAATTTTTCTCTATTCTATTTTGGGAAAGATACATTTTTGGATGAATATATGTATTCCACATAAAAATTTAAACTTATTGATTTTAAGTTGTTACTAGTATCCTCTCTTCTTCTAATGCCCAAAAGATCAAAAATATGCAATTTTCTTACCTGATATTGGTCATTTACATCCTTTCTCTTTTTATTTTGAACTATTGGCTCATTTTCATCAATTACATTAATCTTTACAAAGAATCAGCTTTTGTCTTTGCTGATTTTTTTCTGCTATTTTCCTTTTCATTTATTTCTGCTCTTTATTTAATTATTTCTTTCCATTCACTGTCTTTGAGGGCAATTAGTTCTTCTTTTTGATAGAGATTATAATGGCAAAAAACACATTTGACTGTTCTCTGTCCTGTAATATGCATTTCACTGTGATTAAAAGGATTAAAGTATAGTCTTGCCTGGAGAGTAAAGATACCCCTAATTTTTCTAGAACCTAAAACAGTCTGCCTTGACAATCAGGTTAGGATGGTGACTATCCATACTTAATAATGTTTCTCTTAAAATTAAGAATTCCCTCAGTTCAGATATGTATCTCAACAATCGTTACATGAATATCATAGTCAGTGTGCAACTTTGAATGGCAAAGACGAAAAGAGAACTTGAAAAATAATTTTGGATGCTATATGAAATAGTCTCTCCTTTTATATTCTATCCATCATTTGGTAAGGGAAAATTTTATATACTGATAATAAAGGGGGAATATCTAATTTTATAAAATGTTGTGTCTGATTATTCCATAGTCTTATCTCTAAATTTACTTTCCCAGATGAGCTAAGACAGTGAAATGAATGAAAACTCCAAGGTTCTATCTTATTAATTGTAATTTTTTCTGAGATAATAGTATAACTATAAGCACATATGGCATCCCTTATATCAGTCCTCTTCTTATGTGGCAGTAAAATGTCATCAAGATATAAGTGCTCCTTACCAACGCTCAAAAAAAAAGAAAAGCCACAATTTATGTGCTCATAGATGCTAGTGTGGGTACACAAAAATCACTGCTTCAGTTTAGATCAGAGAGGAGAGGTTGAGATATCATGAAACCAAGTTTTATTGGTTAGTATTATAAAAAAATCTACAATAAGAACCATAAAGAATATTAGGAACAAGTGTTTTGGTTTCAAATTAATAATTCTTAAGAGCTACAATAATTAAAATATACAACGCATAATGATTAATCACATTGTTCTACACTCACCTTTCACTGGAGGATGACTTGCTGCTACGGCTGCTTTCTTCTGACACAGATCTATAAAATTGATAAAATTTATTTTAAAGTGGAGAAATTTTAAAATCTTGAACAATTAAGTGACTATTTGAATGAAGAATGCTCTTCAAAGAAACACAGTGATTCATTAAATGAAATGTCTCCTTCCAACAAAATAAAAGAAAACACCACCTTACTTTGTTGATTAACTCCTCTCATCCTCATTTTACATTTATTCAAGTATTTATGTCATAAGCCCACATTTGTACAGACAGGCTCCGTGATTCTTGGATATCTCTAACTCCTCAGTCAAATTAAGCCAAAACCACAAAGCAGCAGTCAAAAATTTAAGTTAATTTTTCTATATATTTTTTTCTTCCTCTTATAACACATACTCATGTCTTCTCTTCTTACCAGTTCTTGGAAGGTAAAGCTAGAGGTAAATTCTTCTGTGGAAAAATACAGTAAACTATGAATAAGGGGCTCAATAACAATGTTTAAATATTTGTGTAACTGATTACAGATAATATTGTGTTCACTTATTAATTTGGTCTACCAAAAAGTTTATGATATATTGGAAAACTATTATCTCCCATTTTATAGAGTTATACAGAATAATTTTAAGAATATAAAGATTAAATCACATGCTTAAGATATCATAGTTTTTACATGCAAGATTTAGGAGTTAAAACCAACTTTTCTGAGGCTAAATGTAATTTTCTCCTCATTTCATGATGCTGTCTCCCATCTCCTGACCTGATATAATGAACTACACATGTAATTTCTAGCTAATAAAATGACTTTACAAATTAGTGGTAGCAATATTTAGGAAAATAAATATTATGGAGCAGGTTCATAGATATTATCTCTAGTTGAAAGAGGTGTTCTAATAACATTGTTTACCACCGGCCTGAAAATCAGTATCTAAAAAAAATATTTTTTGAAAGTTCCCTTGAAATGCAGTATTACCTATTCTCATGAAGCACAGGACAATATGACTATTTAGACAGAGTCCGTGGACAAAGAGCTGAATAAACCGCCACAACAGCCTTGCCCCCATTTCTCCTCCTAAAGTGATACTGGTGGTAAAATGAATAGTTTTAGTAATGAGTAAAATGAGAAAAAACATGAAAGACACCAAACTGGTTTGAAATGTATCTCTGGGCCTCTCCTCCTATTGCTTTACCTGCAGTCTTAGATTATTCCTGATGAACATGAATACTTTTATTTTCTTGAGTTACTTCATAAGAGTAAATATATATTTACCTCTCACTTTCAGTTTCCCCTCTGTAGCATTGCTCTTTTATTTTCTTCCACTTTACTAAAAAAGCAGCAGTAATGATGAGCACAGGTACAGAAATGTAGAAAATGAGTTGAAATCGGTGTTTTGGAAGAGTGGGAGATGTTTCCTCCAAGTAACTTTTAGCTAGAAGGGAAAATATCCATTTCAAATTGTGTCAGAGACTTTACTAACCAAATGAACAGGTGGAGAGGATATCATTACCAACACTACTCCCAAACACTAAACATTTCATCCATATAAATTATGAATATAATAAAATAAAAAAAAAACAAATTAACGTATAAAATGGGCTGTTACTAGTGCTTTACTGATGTTTGTGAGCTTTCAACCTTCCACCACATGGTGGTTTCTTTGGTCGAAGGTAATGTTCTTTCATGAAGCGAATGTTTAATACTTGCAAACATTTCTTCAATTCCTTTCTGATACAGCTGCTCCAAAGCTCAAACATATGCATCACAAAGAGTATTGGGATTGTACCTATACACCAGAATTAAATCTGGGAAGTGGACCTATGCACCGGTCATCAAGACGTGCTGAGGTGGCATCCCACATAGAACTACTGGAAGGATGTAGAACAATGTACTGGGGCTTTGGGGAGAAAAAAGGAAAAAAGGAGGAAGATTGGCAGCAGATGTTAGCTGAGGGCCAATCTTCCTTAAAAAAAGAAGAAAAGAAAAATGAAAGAGAATGATCCCTGAGGTTGATTCACAGATCATCAGGGCTTCCTCTCCCATCACAGGCCTAGGGGCTGTCTCCCTCTTGGTTTCAGAGGGTGAGGCCTTCTCCTTGGTTTCTGCTAGCCAGGCTGCCCCAGCCCAGGGCCTCAGGGATGGGGCTGCTGCAAAGAGTTGTATGCGCAAGGCCTCTACCCTGAGCCAAAGGGGTGGGGTAGATGCTACCTAGGACTGTGGGGTGATGCTGTCCTCTATGGGTCTGGGGGACAGAACATAAAGCCAAAGAGAATTATTCTCAAACCTTAAAATCTAATGCAATTTGCCAAGCTAGGTGTTGTATTTACTAGGATCTGTCGCCTCTTCCTTCTTCCCAATTTCTCTCTTTTGGAATGCAAATGTCTATCCTACACCTGTCTCACGATGGTTTTTTAGAAGCACATAGCTCTTCTGATTTCACAGGTTCACACTTGGAGAGGAACTTTGCCTCAGGATGAATCATACTTCACGTCTCATCCATACCTGATTTAGGCGACACTTAGATGAAACTTTGTGTTTGGAATTGGCGCTGAAATGGGTAAGACTTTTGGAGCTGTTGAGATGAGATGAATGTATTTTGCATACCAGGAGGACATAAATTTGAGGTGGTCATAGTATGGAATGTTATGGATTGAATTGCATTCCACCAAAATTCAAAGCCCTAACCCCCAATGTGATGGTATTTGGAGATGAGGCTTTTGGGAGATAATTAGGGTTAAGTAAGGTTTTAATGGTGGGATCTGATGAAACTTATCTTCTTAAAAGAGGAGGAGGAGAGATCAGAGAGTTCTCTTTCTTCACACACACAGAGGAAAGGCCATCTGCAAGCCAGGAAGAGAGCTTTCAACAGAAACCAATTTGCCAGCACATTGATAATGGGTTTCTAGGCTCTACAACTGTGAGAAAACAAATTTCTACTGTTTAAGACATCCAGTCTGTGGTATTTTGTTATGCAGCCCAAGCAGACTAATACAGTGTGTTTTCATGAAAGAATAGATGAGGTCATATTTTCCCCAGGGCATCCCTTGAAGGGAGAAATAGTGGTGGAACTCCTGTTAAAACTTTGTTTCCCAGCAACATTCACTACCTAATAGTCTAAAAAACTTCAGGCTAGAACACAAGAGGTTTAGTATTAAAAAAATCTTTAAAGGTGATATAAGAAACAATATGATCAGTTCAACAGATACGATCCACATATTTAATAAAACCAAAAAGACATTCCTGATTTTAAATAAAATTGGAAGAGATAAATATTTTCTAAACAAGATAAACATAACGAATCAAAAGCAGCAAGCTTTTCATGATAAAATATTAGAGGTTTTCCTTGGTGTAAAGTAATAACCTCTCTCATGATTAGTTCTTTTTATTCAGAAAGGATTACCTAACACAATTATAAGATGGGGGAGGGACATTAACTGAAGAAGAGGAAAGAGAGGGAAATTATTATTATTAAAAAGATATGGAAAAATTATTATTAATTGCAGTTACATCATTTAAAAAACATCAACTGCCCCAAAAATCAACGAAAAGACTTTTGAAAATAGTGATAGTCCATCGACAAAATGTATGCACAAAAATCAGTAGGCTTCCTATATGTAAAAAGTAGCAAATTAAAAATACAATGACAGAAAGATCTTCTGATATGAATTTTCAACAAAACAATAACATTCTGAAAAGGAAAAGAGTAATTTCTGATCTATAGATCCTGCAATACCTCTACAGAGATCAAAACTACAATGAGTTATCACTTTACACCCATTAGGATGGCTACTCTAAAAAATAAAATAAAATAACAAGTGTTGATGAGGATGTAGAGAAATCCCTTGTGTATTGCTGGTGGGAATGTAAAACGATGCATCCTCTATGGAAAACAGTATGGTGGTTCCTCAAAAAATTAAACATATAATTACCATATTATCCAGTAATTCCACATCTAGGTACATACCCAAAAGAATTGAAAGCATGGACTCAAACAGATATTTGTGCACCCATGTTCATAGCAGCATTACTCACAATAGCTAAAACTTGGAAGCAACCCAAGTGTCCATCAACACATGAATGGATAAACAAAATGTGATACATACATGCAATGGAATATTATTCAGCCTTAAGAAGGAATGAAATTTTGTCACATGCTGCAACATGGATGACCTTTAAAGACATTACATCAAGTGAAAGAAGCTAGACACAAAAGAACAAATACTGTATGATTCCATTTATAGGAGGTATCTGGAGCAGGCAAATTCATAAAGACAGAAAGTAGAATGGTAGTAGACGGGGATTGGGGGAAAGGGGAATGAGGAGATATTGTTTAACAGACACAGAGTTTCAAATTTTCAAGATTAAAAGAGCTCTGGAGATGGATGGTGGTTGCACAACAATGTACAACAATGTACTTAATGCCACTGAATTGTACACGTAAAAAATAGTTAAAAAGGTAAATTTTATGTTCTGCGTATTTTACAATTAAACATACGAATGTAAATATGTGTTGTGTTATAAAAGGTCAAAAATACCAGTAGAATAGATTGTTAAGCGTGATGAAACAGCAATACACAGAAGAATTATAAATTTCCTGCAACCATAAGGTAAATAGGAAGCCTCATGAAATTGAAGAAATGCAAGTGGAATTTTTTTTTCACTATTAGCTTGTCACAGATTAAAAAGGTTGATAATAATCACGGAAAATCATTATGATGATCAGTGATTAGTGGTAATTTCTGGGGTTAGGATTACATCAAAATTATTGAAAAAAATTATAATATGAGATTAAAGCAATCTTTATAATTTTATGTATCAAGTAGACAAAAATATATGAGGATTTATATTCTAGAATATGCTAATTCAAATAGGTAACTCACAAACAAACATACACACACACATATATATGTATACATTCAATTATGCATATATGTTTGTTTATGTAGTTAGAGCTATATATATATATATATATATATATTCTAGAATATGCTAATTCAAATAGGTAACTCACACACAAACATACACACACACATATACATGTATACATTCAATTATGCATATATGTTTGTTTATGTAGTTAGAGCTATATATATATACTGTAAAAACAGATTATACATTATTTGAAAATATCCATGAAAGTTAACAAAAGTTGTAATGTACTGGCAACAAATAAGGCCATCATAAATTCTATAATTTGAGGTTTTTCCAGATCATATTCTGTTAACATAAGTTAGTGATATTCAAAATAAATAGAACGAGAATATAAAACAAACCTGGACTCCCTGGGACCACCTTGACTCTCAAACTCTTTATGCCTCCAAAACGCATTCAGCATCACAAGGGCTTCTCCCACATTGAGCCCAGGGCTCATCAAGGGAAGCCCAGGGCTTCCTTGACTGGGTCCAGGGCACCAGAAGGGACCATTTTGGGACAGAACGTGCAGCCAGATGGCACATCAGCGCAGGGCTTTCAGGGCAGACCTACAGGCCCCAGATTACAGCTGATGAAGACAGAATCTATGGCAGCTGACTAAAGAAAACTAGTTGCATTGGAAGGTTTCCTCTGATCCCCAGCTCAGGTGCTGTCATCCTACTGTCATTTGGACTGGGACTGTCCTAGGGGTCATACGAAAATCTCACATACTGAGGAATCCATTACCAGGATGGGAAATTTTCTGAGTTTTGGCAACTAGTTTGGAAGGCTGGAGGAGAAGAATAAAATCCATATTGAAGCTAACGAAAACAAGGATTAAAAGTAGCATTATTTTGGTGTCAAATGAATACAGCATAGATTATCTGTAGTTGCTGTCAATGTTTTTAACTCCGACTGCTGATGTTCACAGTTGTGATTTGTGGTTCACTCAGAATGATGTGACTTAAGTGTGCAAGCTAAAGGTGTTGAAATCATTAGTGTTAATAGTCCATCTTTGACTTAGTCTGGAGATTAACTGTTGTGTTTGGTGTAAAGATAGTGCTAATTTAATTTTTTCATATTGTCAATATTGTAATCTTGGTTTACAAAAGCTCAAATAATGAAAATCAGAATGATTACAATACCGACACCAACATGACCCAGATATTACTGAACAAAACGGTTAAATGACTGTTTTTACTGACAGATGGAAGGACACATACAACTGGATTGGGATGTAAATAACCAAAACAGAGCATATGGCACAACACCCCAAAAATAATTTATACCCAGAAATAAACCCACACATATATGGCCAATTAGTTTATGATGAAGGAGCCAAGAATATACAATGGGGAAAGGACCATCTCTTCAATAAATGGTGCTGGGAAAACTGGACAGCCACATGCAAAAGAATGAAACTGGACCACTATCTTACACCATACACAAAAATTAACTCAATATGAATTAAAGACTTGAACGTAAGACTTGGGATCATAAAGCTCCTAGAAGAAAACATAG